ATGCGGACGGGGACGGGGACGGGGATGGGGACGGGGATGGGGACGGGGACGGGGATGAGGACAGCGGCGACGCCGTCGCGGTGAGGTGAAAAGGGCTGTGACACACCCCGGGCGATGTGCGGGAAAGGAGTCCGACGTTATCGGATATGCAGTCAACCTATAAATTCCGGGACAGGCTTCCTTGCCAGCAGCAACGCGTGTGCGAAGTGGCATACTTCAGGGTTATCTCGTTGACAAAACCGTCCCCAGAGCTTTAGCTCACGAAGCCCACATAGCTCTCGGAAGCACTTTCGTTATATTTAGCTTGAATATTACATACGCGGGAAGGATTTCTAGAAGTGTGTTAACAATCTCTCGAAAGTGAATTCACCGAAAAAGAGAATTGTTTGAGTACTTGAGGAGAATACGGCAATGTAATAAGGTAACGTTTTCGACCGCCACTAGTACGAGCGGTTGATTTTAGATCATGTACTGCGTGCTAAAGTTCAATTTTTATCACTAGTTCTAAAAGTGAGACAATGCTCAAGTGTTGAGATAATACTGGTAATGCAACAAAGAAAATAAAATACCTTCTGATCATCAACAACTGATATTAATGTAAAATGGTATCCAATTAAATGATTTGTATACTTAAATCAAGGTGGTCAGTAGAAAATGGAAGTCAATAGGGTTGCCTAAGAAGTAGTGTACGACAGTGAAGAATAGTACACGACCTAAATCACAATAAAAGAGACGTCAATAAGGCTGTAGAGCAAATTAAAGTTAATAAAAGTTTTAAACGTGGTAAAAGTTATTTAAGTGATTTTATTTGCTCGTAGACCTATCGTCAATTGGCTCGTTACCCCACTCAGCCTACCAACGTCGTGTCGCAATATTTTCTTCACGCAAAATAGAACGTCACTTTCATCACTCATATTATCATAAATATTTTTGCATCGCGTTTTGTCATCGTTTTTGCTGGATTATTGATAATTATACTGACGAAACACATTTCTTATTGTTTTCCAAACATTTGATTTGTTACGGCAATCAAATCATATCAGACCAGATTTACATACATGTCAATCAATTTACATATCGGAGAAATGAGATTTACATATCGTCGATGTACTAAGTCCTTATTTGGGGTTTTAAGTAATTTACATCGGTAATACACACGTTTTTCTATTCATTTGATGTGTGAAATCACTGACATTCTCGAGTTTGAATGTACTAAGTTTTCATTTTATCAACACATACTCAGAACAGGAAAAATGCATGAAGCCTAAAGGAGCTCTTCTGAATATGTTGAATACGCTTTTATTGCATAGAGCAATGTACTCGTATGCTTATAAGAATGGCCAAGGTCTGATTTTCATTTAATCCTCTGAGTTATTGAAGTTTGAAGTGGCTTCGGCGTATTCCTTCTACTACAGTTCAGAAGACAGATTATTTCAGAAAATTCAATTCAGAAAACATCATGTAATGATATTAGAAATGTAACTAGTACCAGGAAGTACGTGCCATTAAGTACCTCCTTTATTTCTCTTTCTTATTTTCATGAAAGTGGCTATTTACGGTAACTCTTTGAGGTCGACAACCAAGTGTTTATACAAGCGAATTAAAGCGCACATGTATAATTCACGAATAAATCTATTGTGGCGGTATGGGTAATCAATACAACGCGACGTGGAGAATTGCAATATTAAGAAATTGTACTGAATCAATAAAACAAAATTAAACGACCATGAGTTTGACCTCCAAAAGATACGAGTAAGATTTGCACGGAGTAATGCAGGTCTGCTTTAAAATACAATTCCAACGACGTCTCGTCTACATAACGCATGCGTACAGATGTGACTATAAAAAAGATGCAGACGTACAGTCACTTCAGTCACAGTGAAGTCCTCGATGTCTTCCTTGTAGAGATAATATAAATATTTGATCTATTTTAGATGCTAAAGGCTCTGTAAAAGCTTCCAATATTCAAATCGCGACTAGCGAACTGCATAGTGTTTCTGACGAGTGTACACTGGACTCATACTGCACGTTATTATTTTGATGGCCATCCACGTTACATCAGGGTGTGAACCAAATTTATTACAGTGCTTGACCTTCTCATAAATATATATTCTGTACGTCTACAGGATGTCCACTTCCCGGAATATGATGATATTCACGGGCCGTCAGCCCATCCACCATTTCACCAAAAAATTCTTTAAGGTGGGCTCGCCATTTGTACATTACCACACTTCCTATGCGTTTCTAGGCAAAACCTACTAAATTCAGTACTTCCACTGAAATTCAACTAATTACTGAAGTCAGCGCATACTCCAACACGCCTTCTCTCCGATAACTAATTTCACTCTCTCCAAAAACACGAAAATTGCCAGCAGAAGTTACACTGTGTTGCCTGCTAGGCATATATCACCCCTTCTGTGTTTTTCCTCAATCAGCTTTCTGTGATTTTCAAAAAAACAACGCGTGCTTTCATCTGTCACCGATGTCTTTTTGAAACCTTTTATACTTTCGTTAAATTTATTCTAATTTGGCACTTTTCAAAAGTTCTGAAAATTTTGCTTTTGAAATCGCCGCGTTCCTCAAATGTTATTGCCCTCCGGTTCACCTGATTTTGCCGAAATTCCAACTCGTTTAGAAAGCTGTTTATACCTGCTGCATATGTTCAATTGTTCTTTCGTGTACGTATCTTTCAACCTATAAATTCTTCTTCTAAGATTTGTACCTCTTTTTCGAATTGCTTTCGAATGATTATTACAATTCTTTATTTTTCTACTGTTTATTTTTTAAATCTAAAATTCCCCTGTTACTCAACGAGAACATAAAATTCAGTTCCACGTTCACAATGCCAATTGTTTCTTATTCTATCCGCTTCTTTAGACAAAAAATACATTTTCTTAACAAACATGTGTATTGACGAAAGTTATGTACACCGGGGTTCAGCGTAGGTTATATATATTACTTCATAACGCTGTGTGCACAGTTAGCCAAATATGAACAAGTTGCAGTATGCTATGTAATAAGTGACTGAATCACCTCCTGCACGTGTTGGTAATTCCTTTTTTTTAACGCGGCATGTGCAAATGCAAACGCTTCGCGTATGCTTCGTAATGTTACGCACTCTAAATGAACCAGAATGAAAAAAATAGCTGTTTTGCACAGGGAAAACTAGTACAAGATATTCTGTTTCTCACACGATGTGTTAAAATAATTCGTAATAGTAAGAAACAACTGCGCGAAACAAGTGCACGAGTCAATTGTTCGCTCGCACGTATGTAAGGGCGACAAAAGAGCAGCGCTTGAAGCACCTCCAGAATGTGTTGCAAATTGTTTACAAGTATACAATTTCTGATTACGCCGTGTGGGAAAGATGTTTCGTGCAAACATAGCACTATTTTGCACACTGTTAGATGTAATGAACAACATAGCTGTTTCACACACGGAAAACATGCAAGTGACTCCATGATTCGCGCACAGCCAGTTAAACCTTTTCTTCACTCCAACAACAAAATATCCAAGATTCAGCATTCACCACGACTCCATAGTAAAATGTGAATGGGGAAGCGAATCTGAATGTGTAATGTTATATTTTTATTCAACTCGCGTCTTTGTGAGACGTACACGACAACACACAGAATTCAGATTTTTAACTGAGTAGAATTAAAGACGATTGTAAACTTATCTGCATCTGAAATTGCTGATGCCAGAGACGAAAGTGTTCATTTGTATGCAAGCTAACAGACATTAACTAGGCTGTAAACCAGGGAAGATAAACGGTGAGCAAGGCCGTAAATTAGTCAGGATTACAACAGGAGTCCTTAGAATTGTCGAGTTTAATTGTCAGAATATATTTTTTTGCTAAAGAATGGTTTGAGAATATTAATGCATTATTTTTCTATACAATTCTTTGTTGATAACAATATAATCTACGCCTCTATTTTTTTTTTAATTTTTGGTAACAACTTCAAGTCTTGCTAATATAACATTCATTCCAGCATGCTCATACTTGGCAATATATATAATATAAATCAAATTACGTATTGTTTTTAATATCAGTTTGTCTTTTAAATTTTTTATTTGTTTATGGTACCAAGAAAAGAAAGAACAACACAAGCTAATCATAATTTTTAATAATAATTGACTGTAAATATGATACCAGTTTTCATTAAAAATAAACTTGTATGATTTATGAAATAATAGTTTTAGACAAATGGTTTAAAAATAAAAATATCCGCATTAAACCCACTTAAGGAAATAGTTACATTAACATAAACCTCATTGTAGTTAAATAATTTTTATTTTAAAACACTTTACGATGACATCAACGCATTTTCTGTTCCACATTTCCCTTCACCTCGCCACAGAATTTTTATAAAAAACAAAAATGAAGGTAAATTAAGAGTTAATAAATAATATTTGTAACTTACTATATCGTATTAATTTATTCTATATTCAACACCCTCTGGCAGCATATGTTTTCAAAAACAGGCAAGCATTTGACCTTCCAACTCAGTTGCAACGTTCACATTGATGCAGAAAAATTGTTCCCTCTGCTTCTCCGACTAAACAAATATTTTTTCTGGGCACGTGTCCAGCGGCAAGAGTCCGCCCCGACGCGGAACGGCGCCTGGGGCGAGAAAATGTATCCCCGCCGCTGTAGGGAATGGCGTCGGGGATTCCTCAAATTATTCATACCTTCCGGAATTTTGGGGCACTCTTTTTATCTGTTTAACATTCATAATATAAAACAGATGAAAGTCAACAAATAAAGAAGTCAGTTGCTTTTACAGTGGACATTTTTCCGTGTTTTTTTTTTTCAGCCAAAGGCATTTCTTTCCTGTATACGAACATATATACAGAGTTATATACGTAGTATAGGGAAACTTATGTAATGCTGGGGAAAATCGATTTCTTCCCTGATACCATAAACAATTATTTTTTTCAAAACATCCATCTGTCTGTGAAGCCAGCCTAAACTATGCGTAGGCTTTTTTCCAAACTGAAGATATCCCTGTTCATGTGGCTCGAGTCAAAGCTTTAATATTTTGAAACAACTTTCTTTAAAATTTGGGGGTACTTACATGATTTTCAAAAGTTTCTTAAAAACCACTACAAATCTTTTCTTTAAATTTGTTGTACGAATAGAGTAAAATACACTGATAAATGTGGCATATGTTCGATTTTCACGGTTAACTCTTAATTTTCGAATATTTCAAAAGTCTGAATTATTTCCGGGGTCTTCCTACAACTACAAAACAAAAGATAGAGATTTTTACTTTCAGTGAAATTTATCGCTCATAATCAGTTCTTTCGATAAGGTGAAGTACATGTTTTTGAACATTTTAGTAGTTTTCGAGCAATATTGCGTGAAAGATTTGCAATTTTCAAAAATTACAAAAACAAGGTTTTTTCTAAAACAGCTCCAAATTTGTTCTTCAAACCTTTGGTGGAGATAGTGCAAAGTGCACTCTATACGATGGCCTAAACATCGTATTGCTTTATTCTTTTGTTTTCTCAAAAATTACAAAAAAGTATTTTTTACTTCTCTGTCACATCGTTAATAGTTGCATTAGTGGCAATTGATTCATCTTACTGCATTTATGAGCATAAATGCTTTAAATAATTTTAGTTATTTTATTTGCGATAGTTCCAATTTATCAGAACACACTTCACTATATTTTCGATTATGGCAGTGATCGCTAACATGGCTTGTGACACGATGTTTGAAATTAGACCGCGGTTGGCTATTAAGGTTTCGGTTACGATGAAGGGTAAGATGTGATGGTATTTGTCTATTGGGTACATGAATAAGTATTGGTTTGAGGTGACATGTTAAAATGTGGGTTTGTGTGTTTTAACTTTTTCAGTGAATCTGCTGCCTTTTTATATATACTGATGCCTTTATAGTTAGCAGTATGTTCGACACCACAATTCACGTATTTAGGGGGAGCAGATTTCTTTTGGTACTCTCGGAGTAGAGATAATGACCAGCACATTTGACACACCTAGGCTGAATGTCACAATTTGCCTGGGAATGCCCAAATCTCTGACGTTTATACTGGTTTACACGAGACTATTATTTTCTTAATTCTTATAACACTGTACAAAAAGCTGTTAAGTTTGAAAATTTCTTTACTTTGATAAGTATTTTCTAAATCAATTGCACATACAGGTATAGGGCATTTGTCCTTATAAAGTCTCGCTACTTTAATTATTGTGAATTTTAGTCTTGTCAGTTCCTGGAATATTTCACTTTCCGAGTATGTAGTTGAAATGTCTTTCATTACAATGGGTAACGTTTTTATAGAGGGGTCTTTAAAAGAATGGAACTCAATTTTCTCAGTTTCGCAAAATTTTCTAAACTTTCTATAATCACTAATGGAAGTAAATGAAATTTTAATAAATTTTTCCTGTTTCGTTGTAAAATATATATAACATTCTTTTTTATATCATCTATCAAGAGATGGAAGTTATCTGCATTATGCACTACAATTGGGGGTATTTTGATAATTGGATCGTTCATAGGTTTTTCATCAGTTTCTAATGTCCCTAGAAGTTTATATCTACTTGAAATAGGAATATTGTACCTGGACATTTCCTCTTCTGGCGAGAGTGACCTTTTCCGTATGTGCTCATTACCATGTCCCTGCGTAAGGCACATGATATTGAGAAAGAAGTTGAGGGAGTTGCAGTTCAACCATTTGTTGTTGATGTTCGAGATGTCATTGCTGTTGATGTTCATGCTATTGGATTGTTGCTTGATCTAGGATGGGTTGCACAAGTTCGCTGTTAAACAAATGTTCACCACCATTTTCTCTATAAGTAGCATTCATTGCGCTACCTATTAATTACCTCGTACCGGAGCACCAACTTGTGGCCATTAACTAGTGTAATTTGATTAGTTGGCTTTCCATTGACTAAACTATTAAAACTTTTTCTGAACCTGGCACTGTGCACACGAACGGCACTAGAACTGAGCGTTATCGCATGATCGCTACGGGTTGACCACAGCCAGAAAGCGATAAGGGTTGCCTCGGACACGAAACGTTCACCTCAGCGGCTCGAACCGGACTGGCCACACGTCCCCCTTAACCGATGGCCGTAAGGCTGGACGCTGCTTGTAGGCCTTATGTAGTGAAGAGCTGTTGTGCCAAAGTACATACATAAATATTCAAAATATCAGTACTTTATCCGTAGTTCTGCGGAAAAGGACAATCTTTTAAATAGTTATTTTTTCAAAACCAGTCATTTTTTAATCAGCAGATCTGAGCAAACTTCGAGACATCAAGCGAATTCCCATGGAACCAACTGAAAACGCGCAATTCAAACAGTCACTTATTTTTTAACAGACTATGAACATTTACTTTAAGACGTTTTGATCCCTGTTTATGGTGTGAAAAAAATGAAGGCGCCCTTGAATTATAGAGAAAAGTAAACGTGGTTGTGAAACAACAAAAAATCTCAATAGATCGTCTTAATAACCAGAATTGCAATAATGTCCCAAAATGTTGATATTATATGTTAATAATTAAAATACAGCACATTTTAACCATAATATTTCATCGACAAATAACATCTTTTATCACATATATAGAAAAAAGATTATTTATAGACTATAATTTATGGTTTTTAAACATTATATTATAAAATAGAAACTAAGTAGTATATGATAAAGTAAGTAGAGTGGTAGCATCAGCTGAAAATATTGTAGGCAAGAAAATAGTTTTTTAAAATTAACATAATTTCTTATAGTGCTTGCCAGGAGGCAATATCAGCACTTTAGTGGTTAGAATTATACATAAATTACCGATATATCTTATAAGGAAGTCGACTTCTATGTCTAATAATTGCATTAAGGAATCTCTGATACTGTCGTCTAGCATGGTGATATGACAAAAAATACCCTCTTACTCTGCCATAAAATGTAATTTCTTCACTTCCCATTTACGCGTTCATAAGAAATTAGTCTCGTCCTGTATGAAAATACTCATCGAGAAGAAGAATAATTACACTGCCCAATTATCAGTTTGCTCAACTTAACAAAAAAAAGAATTATGTGGGTACAAAAAGGTAATAACTAGATTCTCACATGCTACGCGGCTCACCCTTCGAGGTCATTCACACGAAAAATCATCGCGTTATGCGAGTGTGGGAGGACACATACTTGCATTGTGAACACGCGTTTCAATTATATTCAACTCCGTAACAAGTTCCATTAAAATACGCACAATCAGGAATCTCGTTCCTATACTAATTGGTAAGTAAAAACGATACTCTCAGCTGCTCAGGGCACTGTGAGAGGAATAAACCGGTTCGCGGAATTCTCTTGGTTTTTACGTATGTACTAAAAGTAATTAAGTGACAGAAGTGCACGTACGAAGGATCGTTGCCTAAGTGGGTGCACGGAGTGGGAGCTCTGCTAGCGGTTCTCAACGACAGGATATGCTACGAGCGCCCTGCGCTCTCAGTAGAGTTTGGCTACAAGATTTCGTCTTTTACTCTCCATTTCTTCACTTAATTCATAACAGTAGCATATGCTCCTTTGTTTACATTACTAGAGGTTCAACATCTCTTATACTTCAATAATGTTAGCGAAAATACTTGTAATTTGGTAATTTAATATTTCGGTAATTAATTTACTAAATTAAATGTCGGATAAACTTTGACGATTTAAATAGAGTTTATACAACCATATACAAGCATATTCATCTTGAAATACAAGTCAGGATCTAATATTTCTCATTTCTAACTCTGATTTATGTAATCAACAATCTAATCACGTGCATCGCCTTCTTGTATTCCAAGATTTATTTGTTATCATCGTATGAAACACTACAAGAAAGATTTCTAGGTTTCCACATTCACATTGCTGTTGAGATGGGATTTTACTTTCAAATATCCGATCTGGAATTGATGGTCTGAAAACAACCATTTTGAAAAAAAAATTCATATGTACAATGCAGAGTGCCTTACGAAAGAAAAATTCAATCCATTACAAGACTCTGCATTGAGAATTGTCGGGAGATTTAATTGTGCTGACCACTGGTCAGTCTTCTGCAGTTATTTACATGCCTAAAATCCCTCTGCTCTTCAGAAAGCTTCTGAAGTCGGCCGTGACCAAACTCCATTTATGTGGGTGCGCCTGTGAAATATAGAGGAAAAGGAGAGACAGAAAGAGAGAGAGAGCGGGAGAGAGAGGGAGGGAGAGAGAGGGAAAGAAAGAGGGAGAGAGAGGGAGAGAGAGGAAGAGAGGGAAAAAGAGAGAGAGAGGGAGAGAGGGGGAGTGAGAGGTAGAGAGGGAGAGAGGGGGGAGAGAGGGAGAGAAAGAGGAAGAGAGAGGGAGAGAAAGAGGAAGAGAGAGGGAGAGAAAGAGGAAGAGAGAGGGAGAGAGAGAGGGAGGGAGAGAAGGAGAGGGGGAGAGAGAGGGAGAGGGGGGAGAGAGGAAGAGAGGGGGAGAGAGAGGGAGAGAAAGAGGGAGAGAGAGGGAGAGAAAGAGGGAGAGGGAGGGAGAGAACGATAGAGGGAGGGAGAGATAGAGGGGGAGAGAGAGGGGTAAGAGAGGGGAGAGAGATGGAGAGAGAGGGAGAGAAATGGAGAGAGAGGGAGAGATGAGAGTAGAGGAAAAGAGCCAGAGGAAGGTGTAAGCAAAATAATCCAAAGCATCAAGACTGAAATGAAAAGTCTCTCCAGTGTTGTATAAGTTATTTGTGAACGTCACTTGTTGGAAGATTGCTGGAGTCACATGGTAAATAATTGCTTTTTTATCCTTTTCTTTTTATATATACTGATGCCTTTATAGTTAGCAGTATGTTCGACACCACAATTCACGTTATTAAGGGACAGATTTCTTTTGTACTCTCGGAGTAGAGATAATGACCAGCACATTTGACACACCTAGGCTGAATGTCACAATTTGCCTGGGAATGCCCAAATCTCTGACGTTTATACGTTTACACGAGACTATTATTTTCTAATTCTTATAACACTGTACAAAAAGCTGTTAAGTTTGAAAATCTTTACTTTATAAGTATTTTCTAAATCAATTGCACATACAGTATAGGGCATTGTGTCCTTATAAAGTCTCGCTACTTTAATATATTGTGAATTTAGTCTTGTCAGTTCCTGAATATTCACTTTCCGAGTATGTAGTTGAAATGTCTTTCATTACAATGGGTAACGTTTTTATAGAGGGTTCTTTAAAGAATGGAACTCAATTTTCTCAGTTTCGCCAAAATTTTTTCTAAACTTTCTATATCACAATGGAAGAAATGAAATTTTAATAAATTTTTCCTGTTTCGTTGTAAAATATATATAAACATTCTTTTTTATATCATCTACAAGAGATGAAGTTATCTGCATTATGCACTACAATTGGGGTATTTTGATAATTGGATCGTTCATAGGTTTTTCATCAGTTTCTAATGTCCCTAGAAGTTTATATCTACTTGAAATAGGAATATTGTACCTGACATTTCCTCTTCTGCGAGAGTGACCTTTTCCGTATGTGCTCATTTACCATGTCCCTGCCTAAGGCACATGATATGAGAAAGAAGTTGAGGGAGTTGCATTTCAACCATTTGTTGTTGATGTTCGAGATGTCATTGCTTTTGATGTTCATGCTATGGATTGTTGCTTGATCTAGGATGGGTGCACAAGGTCGCTGTTAAACAAATGTCACCACCATTTTCTCTATAAGTAGCATTCATTGCGCTACCTATTAATTGCCTCGTACCGGAGCACCAACTTGGCCATTAACTAGTGTAATTTGATTAGTTGGCTTTCCATGACTAAACTATTAAAACTTTTTCTGAACCTGGCACTGTCACAACCGAACGCACTAGAACTGAGCGTTATCGCATTGATCGCTACGGGTTGACCACAGCCAGAAAGCGATAAGGGTTGCCTCGCGACACGAAACGTTCACCTCAGCGGCTCGAACCGGACTGGCCACACGTCCCCCTTAACCGATGGCCTAAGGCTGGACGCTGCTTGTAGGCCTTATGTAGTGAAGAGCTGTTGTGCCAAAGTACCAAATAAATATCAAAATATCAGTACTTTATCCGTATTCTGCGGAAAAGGACGATCTTTTAAATAAGTTATTTTTTCAAAACCAGTCATTTTTAATCAGCAGATCTGAGCAAACTTCGAGACATCAAGCGAATTCCCATGGAACCAACTGAAAACGCGCCAATTCAAACAGTTCACTTATTTTTAACAGACTATGAACATTTAATTTAAGACGTTTTGATCCCTGTTTATGGTGTAAACAATGAAGGCGCCCTTGAATTATAGAGAAAAAAACGTGTTGTTTAAACAACAAAAAAATCTCAATAGATCGTCTTTAATAACCAGAATTGCAATAATGTCCCAAAAATGTTGATATTATATGTTTAATAATTAAATACAGCACTTTTTAACCATAATATTTCATCGACAAATAACATCTTTTATCACATATATAGAAAAACGATTATTTATAGACTATAATTATGGTTTTAAACATTATATTAAAAAGAAACTAAGTAGTATATATAAAAGTAGTAGAGTGTAGCATCAGCTGAAAAATATGTAGGCAAGAAAATAGTTTTTTAAAATTAACATAATTTCTTATTAGTGCTTGCCAGGAGGCAATATCAGCACTTTATGTTAGAATTATACATAAATTACCGATATATCTTATAAGGAAGTCGACTTCTAGTCTAATAATTGCATTAAGGAATCTCTGATACTGTCGTCTAGCATGGTGATATGACAAAAAATAACCTCTTACTCTGCCATAAAATGTAATTTCTCACTTCCATTACGCGTTCATAAGAAATTAGTCTCGTCCTGTATGAAAATACTCATCGAGAAGAAGAATAATTACACTGCCCAATTATCAGTTTGCTCAACTTAACAAAAAAATTATGTGGTTCAAAAAGTAATAACTAGATTCTCACATGCTACGCGGCTCACCCTTCGAGGTCATTCACACGAAAAATCATCGCGTTATGCGATGTGGAGACACATACTGCATTGTGAACACGCGTTTCAATTATATTCAACTCCGTAACAAGTTCCATTAAATACGCACAATCAGAATCTCTTCTATACTAATTGGTAAGTTAAAAACGATACTCTCAGGCTCAGGGCACTGTAGAGAAATAAACCGTTCCGGAATTCTCTTGGTTTTTACGTATGTACTAAAAGTAATTAAGAGACAGAAGTGACACGTACCAACGAAGGATCCTTGCCTAAGTGGGTGCACGGTGTGGGAGCTCTTGCTAGCGGTCTCAACGACAGATGTGCTACCAGCGCCCTGCGCTTCCAGAAGAGTTTGGCTACAAGATTTGTATTTACTCTCCATTTCTTCTTCTTAATGCATAACAGTAGCATATGCTCCTTTGTTTACATTGCCAGAGGTTCAACATCTCTTTTAACTTCAATAATGTTAGCGAAAATACTTGTATGTTGGTAAATTAATATTTTGGCATTTAATTTACTAAAATAAATGTCGTAAAAAACTTTGACGATTTAAATAGATTTATACAACCATATTCAAGCATATTCATCTTGAAATACAAGTCAGGATCTAATATTTCTCATTTCTAACTCTGATTTATGTAATCAACAATCTAATCACGTGGCATCGCCTTCTTGTATTCCAAGATTTATTTTTATCATCGTATGAAACACACAAGAAAGATTTCTAGGTCTCCACATCCACATTGCTTGAGATGGATTTTACTTTCAAATATCCTGTCTGACTTGATGGGTCTGAAAACAATCACTTTGAAAAAAAATTTTTCATATGTACAATGCAGAGTGCCTTACGAAAAAAATTCAATCCATTAAAAGACTCTGCATTGAGAATTGTCGGAGATTTAATTGTGCTGACCACTGGTCAGTCTTCTGCAGTTATTTACATGGCTAAAATCCCTCTGCTCTTCAGAAAGCTTCTGAAGTCGACCGTGACCAAACTCCATTTATGTGGGTGCCTGTGAAAGATAGAGGAAAAGGAGAGACAGAAAGAGAGAGAGAGAGAGAGAGGAGAGAGAGGAGGAGAGAGAGAGAGAAGGAGAAGAGGGAAAAAAGAGGGAGAGAGAGGGAGAGGAGGGATGGGAGAGAGAGAGAGAGGGAGAGAGAGGAGAGGGGAGAGAAAGGGAGAGAGAAGGAGGAGAGAGAGGGAGA